ATGTTTATACGTGTGAATGAATCAAGGCTGAGAGAAATACTTCTAGGAGAAATACTTTTAAATTAGGAAAGTAAAATTCATTAAGAACTACACAAAGAATTGGACTAAGGACTGAAAAAGGAACTGAGTGCACACATGTAAATGGGGAACTACTGGCCAGGCAGTGACAGTTTGGAAAGGATCTGAGGAGTTACAGTGGCTCAGAAAATGAAGGGAAGTCAATAATATGGATATTTGTCGGAATTAACACAGGAGTGGCATATGTGAGACTGCAGAAGTCATTGTCTGATTCCACTCGGCACCGCTTAGGCTTTTACTGGTATAGGTATCTAGCTCTGGGCGTCACCCTTAAGGAGGAATGCAGAGTGGAAAAATGTCACTTGGACATTGCTAAAAAAGAGGCATATCCGAATCCGTGGAACTGATTATCAGCAGTTTATCCCTCCAGATTTGAGCTGAGACATGGTGGTGGGCTGCAAGGCATTTGCTTGTTCTGCTGCTCTTCACGTAAATGCATCCTACTGCCGTTCCAGAACCGGCTGTGAGTATTAATACCATTTTACAACGAATGCAACAGTTATAAAAGCATTAATATCCACTGTGCCCTTTGGGATAAAAAGCAAATACAATGTACCAGTAAGGCTAAAGGGATAGACGCAAGTCAGCGTAACACAATTGCTGAAGTGAAACCTATTCGCAATGAAAATAGTTTGCATACCGCATCGATTAGACCAAAAAAGCTGCTTCCCTGTCGTTCAAGTATAGCATTGAAACCCACTCATTAGAAGTGAACGTGACACCATAGGCACCCACTGCAGCACAGCGTGAGGCATACTGGTGTTAGGAAGAAAAACTGGATTTCAGTCCAGCTGTTGTCATTTAAAGTTAAGTCCAATTCTAGGCAGCTCTTTGCGGTGATTCCCCTTTCTATTGAAGATACCAAGACAAAAATGCCAAAAAAAAAGTATGCCACATCCACGTCCATAAAGTTTATCAACTTACAGAGTCCAGGACAGGTATATCATTCATTGTTTTGCACCAGTAAGCACAGTAACATACAAAAGCATGCAAAATCACTTATGGTACAGAAAGATCCTGTAACTTCACGCCTCAAGTTACTGGTGAACATTCAAACCACTCCTATCTTTCTATGAAGATAATTCCTGAGATGCAAAGTTGAGTTGTATGTTGGCCTTTTCAAAGACACTGTACTTCAGTGAAGTCGACAGAAACAACTTGGTAGGGACATGACAAAACAGGAGCAAAATATTATCTAATACAGATACTCAGAGGCAAGAAATGATCGTGGGGTTAAATTACAGTAAGCGGTGGGCTTTTTTATTTTGTTGAAAAGTACATCTTTTACTGGATTCAACATAGTAATAAGATGAAAAGAGGTCCACTGGCAAGGGAGGAAAAAAAGCAAAAGTTTGGAAATACTTGACACAACTAAAATAAATAACAGCTTGTTGAATATCCCGTAGGCAGGCTGTAGTAGACGATGTTTTCCCATATCCATGGAGAAAGTAAAGTCTTTGACTGATACAAGTCAGTGTAGCACAAATGCTGGTCTATCTAGCTAAAACCTGCACTCCTTGTTCCTTTTAATAGATAGTATAGGTAATATCAAGCTTTCACTCTGAACCCATGCTTTAACACTCAGAATTTATCCATATTTAATTACAATTTTATCACACTTTTCTAATCAAATAAATTTACTTTGTCCTCCAAGCAATCACCTCAGTATTCCAGTATGTAAAAAATACTTTCATTATGTTTATTATAAAAATATAAATGTTTCCACTACAAATCATTTTACATTAGTAAGAGGCCATCTACAATTGCACAATATATAATCTAAATGAGTAAGTAATGCTTTGAAATACAAGTTAACGTAAATACATATTGCCGATCAAATCACATCTATACATTGCTTATTGAATGCTAAGTAACAGCACAAAACTAGATATGTTAACAGAAATAAATAAAATGGAAACTATATTTAAAGATACAAAACCAATAGTATGGCATGTCATTTTATGAGTAGTTGCATTTTGCTTGATGTCGATAACCGATGCAAGTCCTGTACAGGAAGATGGCCACGCGAATTCTAGTATCTCTACTCCACAATGAAGAATTGTACACTGCTATGTATACATATGTACACGGGGACAGGGAGTATAGGATGCTTGCAACAGAGGCCACTTACAGTACAAATCAACTTTTGACAGGGAGAGAAAACTAAACGTATTTTAAAACTCTCTACTCCTAATAGCAAAGAAAAGCAAAATTGAGTTTCTTTTTTCCCAAGCATCAGTGAGATTGAAACTTTTACGCTGAGCATGCTCAAACAGCGGGCAAGGAACGTGAGAAGATACTGAGAGAAAATTGAGGGTGGTTGGCGCAAAGTTTTCAGTCGTTGTCTGAAACTCTAAGAACTGGTTCTGTGTTTCCAGAAGCATTTCACAGACATCTTCCCCCGACCCCAGCCCCCTCTCCCCAACTCTCCAGTGGCAGAATGAAGCTGAAGAGAAACGTCACAAAGAATGTGTTACAAAAAGCTGTACCCACACAGACAATGTAAGCAAATGGATTTTGGTGACTTAAATTCACTAACAATGTCTGATTTAGAGCAATCTCAAACTGAAGAAAAGAAAGATTCTGAATGAACTAAGCAATGGAAAATACAGCTTTTCTATTCAGCATGCTGCATTTTGCGATAGATTGTGGCAGAGGAGAAGTGTTCTTTACATCTTAAGTGCTTTATTTTCATTTTCTTCCATTTTTCATTTTTTATTTCAACTTACTTCAAACCCCATTCATTTTTCTTTCAGAAAATATTGCTAATTATTATCCTGTGAGTGTGTTTCAAACCCAGTCCTTTACAGCATGCTCACTGCCAGCACTCATTAAAAAGTCTCTCATTCTGCTTCTATTTAGCAATGTGTGATAAACGTTGTGTGTCTACGTTTTATAAGTCCTGGACCCACGAAGAACAATTTAAAAGCTGATTCAGCCACACAAATCCTAGGAACTGATTCTTCCTTTACTTATGTGCCCTATGCTACACGGAGCTTCAAAAACCAAACCAATACAACAAAGAAAGCACAACTAGTTACCTGCTTTTGTACGCACAGCGGAACGCGGCGTGCCATATAGTCATCTGCCTCTCACACAGTCTTGGACTTTCAGGGACTCACTGTTACTCATCAGAATCAGGTTTAGATTCCAGCATGGCAAGTTGGGAATCAGAGTGGTTTCCACTAGTGGCCAAGGCCTGACGTCTGCATGCCTGGCATCACATCTAGAGCGTTAAGAAGCTTGTCTGTACATAGCAGAAGTGCCTCACACTGCGATTTAGACCACTAATTTTCAGAGTGAAGGGTCGTGTCTGCTCAGAACCGGGACCGACATGCTCTGGAGCAGCAGCTTAAGAGTTTGCTATTGGGAAGGTCCTGAAGATGCGGGAGGACTCGAATCCCACCTTCCAGGCTCCTTTTTCCACTGGGAAATGTGAATGCTCTCCTAAAGATAGGCTCCTTTCTGCTTTCTTTCAAGTAACAGGTGCCTAAGGAACCTGTGCCATAAAGCAAGGCTCCTGCAGGATGGCAGCGCCTGGACAGATGTCTTCTAGCTCAGACTTAGGTAAAATTACACACCAAAGTCCCATTTCACAAGCTTAAGTCATCCTTTTAAACTATCCACTTATCCTTGGCTGCAAGTCACCACCTCAGCGTAACTACCAGCAGCTGCCCACATGGGAGTACACCTCCCAGCTCGCAGCGTCAGGAGCAGAGCCTGCCAGATGGAAGCCAGAAATGGACCACTCCCCAGGGAAGTCAAAAAGCATCCTCAGTTAACGCAGGATGCAACCCTGACTCCTTCTAATATTTGCTAGGCAAACTTCCCACCTGAACACCACCCAAGAACTGGGGTCCTTATTTTGACAGGGAAGGAGGCCTTTGGGAAGTAAATGAGATGTATGTACCTGACCGGGCTGGACACTGATCTAGAGGTCGATATGCACACAACTCTGCCAGAACTCAAGCCAGGGTTAAAATACCACTCACAGCAAATGGAAGGAATCTCAACAAGTCCAGATGCTTTGTCTAGCATCAGAGCCGGAAAAAACACCATCTTTCTTTCCTTCTGTATTTCATATATGATGTTATGAGTATAAAATAATCTAGTAATTAACCCTCAGACAATTTCTCAGGTTGAACCAGTGAAGTTTTGATAACATTTGGCACTTGGCAATAATACAGCCAGGTTAAGGTATTTAAGCATAAATATAAACAATAATTAAAAAAAAGGAAATAAATAAGTCTTAAAAATTAAGACTTGTTTCTATTTAAATGAACACAATTAGGGAAGCTAACATAATGGCAAACATCTTTTGTCAACTAACTCAAAGTCACTACAAACTTTATTTCTGTGTTCCTTTCTGAAGTTGAAATAGCATGTTACAATGACATTATAGTAAATATGGCCAGACAAGTAGTGAGGTATAGTCCTCTATTTTCCTTGCTTTTAAAGAAATAAAATACCTGTTACAGATCTCTTCTGTATAAAAATACTGCAAGTCTTTCTTTCTTTCTTCTTGATTGCTGTATAGATCAAATACACAGCTTTTACGTCCATGGTTTTTTTGTGTTATTCAGTCACTTAATATTCAAATGGCTCTAGGTTTTAGTATCACTGGTTTTTACTTGGAAGGATTTTTTACATATTGTTTTCTTTTGAAATCTACTATCTGCATTAACAGTCAGTCAAGAGCACCCACCCTATAGGATTAACAGACAGAAAACAAGTTCACTCCTATTTTTAAGGCATTTATACTCAATATTTGAGTGTCTTAGTGGGTTTGAAATTTCAACCATTACGTTTCCAAAGCTGTTGCAAAGAACTCCTTTAAATTCTGCCATTTATCAGCCATCACTTTTGCCCTGTGATGAAACTTTTCTCTTTTTTTCTCTCCTGAGCAACATCATTTTGGTACCTTACACAGGAACAGGGCTGTTCTTTGTATGAGTTTCTAGAGCTTTGATACTGCTAACAATCTTCTTTTGAGGCCCCACAACTGTAACGCCGACTTTCTTCATGTCACTGGAAAAAAGAGAAGATGCACCGGGTGAGTGAGCGTACTGTCTCTGTGTTTCCTAGGGCTGATGTGAGCAAACAGAAATCAACTCGCTCGTCTTGTATCGCTGCATCAGAGGAGCCTCCACGTATGGCAATGTGCTGAAACACAAACCCTGGTATGAAAAATACTGAGAGCCATTGTATGAAAACAGCAGGAGGCCGCAAAAAAGAGTAAAAACTCATTTAGCCTTGTTGTGTTTGCTTGCCTGGAAGACACGACAATGAAACAGTGTTCTCCAGTGATACACGCACTGGGATTTAGGGGCAAGGGGTTCACTTCTGGGCCAGCTGTGATCTTGAGCCTCTCTACCGCCTCCATCCCCCTATCAGCCTGATTGCTTTCCCTGATCGGTGCTGACATCTCGCTGTTATGTGCTGAGCCCTCTGAATGGTCGTCTTAACTCTGGTATCAGCAATGAGATTGATGGCTACATGGTCAAGCTTCCAGCTTCTACCCTGTTTGTCACCTCTCGTTTCTCCAGGCCGTCCTGTCTCTTTGATCCTTGTGCGACACAAAAGTGGTTTAACACTTGCGAAGGGCTAACACAGGCTCACAGGAAATTGGGCATTCCTAGAGGATTTCTGCACTGTCCCCAAAGGGTAATTGTTACAAAAAGCCATTAGCAGCCTTTTTATAGTTGCAATAATACACTAATTAACGGCATTGATGTGTTTAATTGTCGATACTGCAGCTGCTGCTTACTTCTTCATAACTTGTCATGTATCCAGCTAGCCCAACAGGGAGTCAAGATTTCCTTTGACAGTAAGTTCCTAACTGTACTTGATGCCTTTTCAGGTGCAGAGACAACATTACCCTACTCTTCCTTATCACAAGAACAAAGACAGACTGCATTTAAATGTAATAAACTTGCAACTTGTAAATTTACAAGTTTAGCATGTTTAAATGTCAAAACTAGCAGGAGGGAGTTCAACCCCTGAATAATTATTACCATGTAGGAGGAAAGCAGTTACATAGTGCTTGCTCTGTCTCATCTGGTTTGATGGAATACAGGATAAGGAAAAGATTGGCACACGTGCCAGCTGTGGGGAAACCCCCATATAAAAGGCAGAATATAAAGAATCAACACAGAAACTCCTAAACTGTGAGTGAAATAAAGTGATGCCGGTGTACCAGATGATGCACGGTGCTACTGTATCAGAAGGAATTGGGAATTTCTTTGGCATCAGTGAGAAAAAGCTATGGGACCATGGCCTTCACACAATCAGCAGAGCAGCTAGGTTTCCTGCATGTGTATTGCAACTACAACAATAATTTACATTTGTCTTTTTAAATGCAAGAATATGTTAGCTAAAAACTGGAAACTCTGTATAAAAAGGCTACTCTTATGCTTATGTTTAAACTTGTACCTCCAGCCACAACCAATGATGAAGAGCTGTAGTCAATTCAAACTTACTCTGTAGAAATCTTGGCGATTGTATCACAGGAACTGTACTCCACACCCGTGAAAATTTCTTTGCACTGTCCTGTCCGAAAACCATTGAGCCAATCACCTGTCGTGCGGAAGGCTGAAATGTCAATGTTACTTTGGTCCAGGAGAAGATTTGATGGCCTGAAATAAAAAAAAAAAATGTGATGAAAGTTAGGGAGCAGGTATACGTATGGATTTATTGTGTGTCTAAACTTAGCACTGGCATCGGCAGGAGCTTCCAGGCTAGACGCAGCTATTCTGTTCGTCTGTGGAAGTTATCTGCTGCTAAGGCCACCACACGTACTCACGCTGGCAGCTCTGACGAACACTGCGCAATCATCTTGCTTAAGAGCGCCAGCTTCTCATGCCCACATTGAAATCACTGAAGCATCACCAATTCATGAAGTGTACTGTTACCTTACAATTTAATGTGTGAAGCGTTAGCAAAGACGAGCCTAATTTAGATTGTATTTATGCGAGTCACCTAGTCCCAAACAACACACAAACGATGCACACTCTAGACTCCAAGTTGAGCACATTGGTAGAATTTACACATATTAAATGTTCAGAGTATTGCAGCCCACTGACAAATCCTAAATGCTGCTACTAAGTTAGAAGCACAAATAATGAGACACTAGTGGCTTTAAAAAAAAATTGTATCAAGTCTAAAAATCAAATGTTAAGTCAATTTGTGAGACAAATGCAACCGCACGAGACTTGCATTCTGCAGTGCACAGAGGCAGAAATGAGGAAATTTGTTATTAAATACACTTAGCCAAATGTAAAATGCAATTGCCATGTCCAGTTTAAAATTGATGCTCACTCTAAGACTGAAACTTCCATAAGGATATCATACAAAGAATTTAGAAGTGAGAACTGAATCATCTCCTGCCTTTGAAATTAACTTGGTGCTCATGAAGGATGCTGAACTGACATGATTTGCATCCAAGTTCTCTACTTAGAAAACAATGAAGAAACCACTAAGAAACAAACAAAACCAACACAATGAATCAAACAAAACATATGTCCATGCTTCTTTGCCCGTTTAAACCTTTCTCCATCTGCATAAGTCTACCTATAAACTACTGAGAAAAAAATATCCTTCTCAAAATAATGATTAAATGTATAATTTTTTATCAAGAAGGAATATATTGCAGCTGACCCCGCACTTCGCATATTACAAACGGCAAAAATAGCTGCTCCCATATTGATACAGAAATTCGGTTGTCTGGTACAAATACTCTTGTTTTCATGGTCTTGTGAGCATACTGTAACTTCTCATTTGAGCTCATCAAGACTGAAAATAAATGCCAGCCCTTCCCCATGAAGTCACTAGAGTCAGGCTCTACCACACCTCATTTTAGCCATCTAAAAATACCACAAATAGGTTGAGCTAGTTTTCTGAACTATTGCTGCAGTCCACGGAGACACACACGCATTTCCAGGCAGGGGGTTTGTCCTCTCTGAAACAGGTCTTCCAGGCAAACAGCTTGGAGAAGACGTCCAGCTCTCAGAGAGGTGAGCCTGTTCTCAGCTGTTCCTCCTCACCAACTTGCTATTTGTTCTAAGAGGTGTGAGAAGCCCCTGAATAGCAATACGATCAGTAATTTCTTTCTATTGACAAGAGATCTTAATAATTCTAGTTACCTTTCTCTCTTAGTGCTAATTAGTACAATAATGACTTCCTCAACTAGTCAGATGTTATTAGAGACATCAACTCTATTTCTGCATTTTTCCCTCCGCTGACAAACATATGTCCATACTGGACAGCTTTTTAGCTCCCATTCAGAAACATACATGCTCCATTTTAAGTAAAGTACCTTATGGATGTCAATCTCAGGCTTAAAGCTAAGCATGTGCTTAAGCTGTGCTACTACGATGGTGCTACTCACGAGCACAGGAGACTGAACCAGAGGATGTTCAAAGCAGTTAGCACTGCAACTTTACAGTCTATTTTTCTGCCCCATAATTCTTTTTCCCCGTGGCTCTAGTGAAACATCACCTGCACAGGAGTCTGACTACTACAGCTGAATCCATCTGAAGTGACTTTTGTCACTGGAAAGAAGTGAAAATGAGAGGTGGTTAGACTAACACCGTAATTTAAAGGCAGTGACTACGCAGGGTAACGAGTAGGTGACAGTTACTGGTACTGGAGAACTGATCTGGATTGTAAAACACCCTCTTCACCCCAAACCCAAGCCGTCTCTGAGCCCTGGAAAAAACATAAAGGGAGACATTGTAAAGGCACCAAAGAGAACAAAGTGTCTAAATACCAGTGAATAAGCAGCCTAGAAAATCCAAACAAAACTTCTCAATCCCAACACAAGTCTATTAAGTTTCATCAAGATCAGCAGCACTGCAATAGCATACCCTTGCAGTACATCTGACTTACACTGGAATCAGGAGATACCACATCAGTTATACCGAGACTTTTACCTTTTACCTTTGAAGAAAAGAACAACATAGCTTTGCTGAACAATAACTCTTGGTATTTCCTACATGTTAAACAGCGCCTTTTACTTCTGATGTTTTGCCAATTGTTATCAATCAGCTGATTTCTTTCAGGCTCAGGAAGTTATTTTAATATCTTCTTCCCTTCTAGGATTGCAGGCCATAATTAAAGAGCTCATTAGATGCTTGAAATATCTTAACTTCAAAACTACAAATGAACATAACACTGCTGTAGATTCACCATAAATTTTCACGAGGTCTCAGAGCAGCGATGCTCCTGATCAGGCACCTTTCGCCTGACTACCTTCCCTTCGGAGCCCAGCCAGGACAAGGAGCTGTTGCAAGTGACCGTGATCACTGGCATCAACTATGGACCTCACATCCTGGGAACAGCTGTAGACAGAAAGGAGAATGACAGAAGACACCAGAAACCTGCTCTGCCCCAAAAACAGTAAAGAAGGGAAAGCACAGCATGGCTGCACTGACACAAAGATGGAGCTGAGGACAGAAGGTGCAGCACACTTCAGGTTACTGTTCTCATGCTAAAAACAGATCTAAGGCACCTACATGATATACAGCTTTAAACGCCCTCCAGTTAAAGGCTTAGGTTAGATCATCAGGCCCAAAACATTTTTATTCAGTAGCTGTACAGTCTGCATCTCTCTGACTACTGTTTGTCCCACGAAGAGCCAATGCTTTTTATTTATAGTTTTCTGGGTATAGCATCTGGAATCCCAAGACATTTATTAAGAGTATTTATGAAGTGTTCTTAGTGATAAAGCATGGAGATTTTTTTTTCCAGCCTAATATGTCTTTTCAACTTAAATCTAATAAAACAAGGCCTGACTCAAGAATCACTAATGAAAAAAAAAGAAGTATAAACTAGTTGAAATAGAACAGGTCTCTAGGATTAGGAATTAGAGTGGCCCAAAAGAGCTTTTATGTTTATTACTTGGGTCAAAGTATCATCAGGACAAAAAATATGACCTAATTTTAATGCAAGTGACCTCAGAATAACCAGCACTGTAAAGTATCATTTTTCTCCTTGTAGGATTCCAAACAAAAATTAGTTACTTTCCTCCTCAGAGAGGACATCTGGACAGTTTATCAATGAACAGGAATTTGTCTCACTGTGAAGAGTCTGTGATGTCTCCTCGCATGCACCAAGGGAAAGCTGGGCTTTCAGAGCATCTGCACACATCGGCAGTTTTTTTCCCCCTGACCCAGCCCCTAGACAGAAGGTCTGAACATGAAATTTATGGTCTGGGTGATGTGCACCATGAGCTCACACTTTACTAGACAAATTAGATGGTTGCAATCCACGCAGCTGTAAACGACGTCCTGCAGAGTTCCACCTGATCTTTTACAGCTTTTCATAAATCAGTACCTACTAGCTTCAGAAGAGAGTCATTAAAAAGAAATCATGGAAATTACATGTTTGCTCAGGGGAAGTGAAAGAGAACATTTCCCTCTGTCTTTTCTTTTCTTCTCTCCCCTCCTTTTTTTTTTTTTGAAGTCTCTTTGTTTTGTTGCTTTGACCAACTATGATATACCCCATCGTGTTATCTTTCAACAGTCACGGAAAGACTTTCTATCCTGTTCATCCTGACTGTGTGTCTATCTACGGAGTTCTACTTACTGACATGTGGTACCCTGAAAAAAATCAGCAAGACTCAGGTTAGAGAGACAAATTTAACAGCGAGATGCCAGTTACAAAATGCTCTGTTGCTGAAAGCTTTCTCTGGATGTGCCCATTACATTAACAGTTGGAATTAAACTTTGAGTCATCTGCGGTAGCAGGGAGAACTATAGTTTGTTATCATTAGCACAGCTTTTTGTCACAACACAGGGAAAGTTTTGCTGCACCATATAGTAATGACAAAGATCACAGAAAACATCATTAGAACCCTTCCCAATATGGCATGGAAATCTTGTCTCTGGTTGGCTGCTGCCTGGAGAGAAAGGGATACATCAACTTGTAAAATCCAGGAACTGAGACAAATAAGAGGAAAATGTCCTGCCACTTCTGCATGAAGGGTGGTATTCTGCAAATACACAGAGAAGTCGGGCACACACGATCCCGGACTTTGTATTGCAGTAGCCTCTCTATCCCTTCCTCCAAACAACACAAAACTAACCTTCAGTTTTTAAATCTGGACTTCCCCTTCCACAGTCAGTTTCTTTTAAAGGGGAAAGCATTTAAAAAACATAATCAAATTCCTGTGGCAAATTTTAGGTAATTATAAGCTGATTTTGTAAAGTGAAATTGCTCCCTAGGATGGAGCCAGGCCTGGTTTGAACACAAATCCTATGTGCTTTACAATCATGGGAAGCTGAAGCACAGAATTCAGATCTAACAAGAAGGATATCTCCTATTTCAAGAGAAAAATAAACGAAAAAACAACAGCTAGCATAGAAAACAAATTTTAGTTTTACCTTCTACAGCAAACAGAATTGTAAGTATACATGTGTATCAACAGAAGACTAGTAAATAAATGACATGCCAAGGAGAAGTAGAGTCATTGTTTACTTGATTATGCCTGGGTCTTAAAGATAGAATCTTTGGCATTCCACCTCTTCATGCCCATTTTTAAGGTACCCTTAGCAAAATTTGTAACTTAGTCCCTAAAATACAATTCACCTCTTAGGGTGGCACATTTGCTTTTCCCAAGGGGCTTCATATCACGCTT